GAGCTACACTGTGCCCCTCTGTCCCGTGCAGCGCCTCCCAAGCCGCGGGTTTGTCAGGTGGACTTGCGGTGACTCAGCATCAGCACCACAGGCCATAGGCCACACGCGGGCTTGCTTGGTCTGGACAGGGACACTAAGCATATATTTTTAAAAACTGTGGCCAAATGCACATAGGTTTGATTATGTGACCATTTTCAGGGGTGCAGCTCAGTGGCATCGTGCTCAGTGGCATCGTGCTCAGTGGCATCATGCACTGTGCTGTGTAGTTGTCACCCCGTCTGCACTGAGAGAGCACCCAGCTCTAGGACCTTCCGTAAGTGGGGCCCGCAGTGTCTTCCCCGTGACAGGCTTATCTTACTGAGCACGACAGGTCAGAATGTGCCTCCTTTTCCAGGCTGTGTGCCCGTGACCGTCCTGTGGTGCAGATACATTTTCTGGTCACCCACGAAAGGACACGGGTGGCTTCCACATCGCTGCCACTGTAAGCTCTGAGCTCCTGTAAGACCTTCTTGTAGTTCTTTTAGGTACTCACCATTGGCTTGGATTTGCATGGTCCAGATTCACAGAATTAACCAAATGCAAACTGGAAACATTTGTTTAAAAAAAGAAAAGAACCGCACAGAGCTGCTTCCTTGTGGCTACCCCCAGGTGACACAGTGTAACAACCGTGCATACAACATTCCCATTGTCTCCAGGGGCGTTCACAGTGTCTGGAGGAGGCGTGTGGGTCCCCTGCCAGGACCAGGCCACTTCATGTCACGCATGCACCCACGGTGAGTTGAATTCTGAGGCGGTGCTATGTATCTGCTCAGCGATCACCTACCAGCGCAGGCTAGGGCCTCGGGCCCCGTGTAATCCAACCCAAGTGCTGGCCTGGCCCACTTGAGGAGGGCCACCGCCCGCAGGGCCCGCATCACGGGGGGCCGGGTGACTGCCCTTCTGATGAGGACCTGTGCATGGTGCCGGACATCAGTGTGCAGCTGGCCCAGTGCTGGAGGGCTCAGGCTGGCTGTGCCCAGGCTCTTGTGCCCAGCACTGGTCCTCGTGGGTCAGGAGCTCCACTGCCATCCCGCTGCACCCACCATGACTGGTGGACCCTGGCGCTGCCCACCAGGGACAGGATGGCGTGAGGATGGCGCTCGGAGACCAAGGTTCTTGGGGGCACGAGCTGCTCAACAGTGGGCCCTCTAACCACTTCTGGTGCACCCCTTGAACACCAGGATGCCAGCCACATGCAGAGGAACATGGGCTAGAGAAGGAGTCACCCTGTGACCATCTGGTGCATGCCTACTCCCATGAGCTCACAGCCGTGGCACCTGGGAAGAGCTGGTGCGAGGGCGTGCACCCAAGCGCACAGGGTGCTCTGCTGGCCGTCTTGGCCTCCCAGAGTCACTCTGATGGGGGGTAGTCCTCATGTGGGGGGAGACAACACCCACGTCCTGGGTGAAGTGCACATCACCAAGAAGGGGCTGCTGGGCCAGGCTCCAGGGCTGATGCCCAAGAAGGACCCTGTTACAGGGCTGTCTACACCCACCTGGCTCCAGGCCAGCCCCGGCACTTGCCCGCAGCCTGGGTGGCAGGGGGCTGCTCCGTGGCAAGCAGCGGGGTCTCGAGGAGCCAGAGCAGGCTGGGCCCAGAGACATAGCTGCTAACCACATGAATGAGACTCCCTGAGCCCTGGCAGGGAGACGGGCCTCGAGAAAATGCCCGAGCCAGAGTGTGAACTGTGGGCCACAAAGCACAGTGCCGCCCAGGCTGTCCAGACACACACAGGGATGTGAAGTGGGGAGGGAGAAACAAGGCGGAGAGCGCCAAGGGGCAGCAAGGAAGGGCGAGGGGCAGTGAGCAGCGAGCAGTTTCAACAAATGTAACAAAACGTGAAACTTGATGAATCTGGGTCAGGAGTATGTGGGAGATGGTGTGGTTTTCTTTTTTAGCTCCTGACCTTTCCCGATTAGCCCAAGTTGGGCCTGGTGATGCGTGCCTACAATCCTGGCCATTCCGAAGGCTGACACAGGAGGGTAAGTTCAAGGCCAGTCTGGGCTCTGCTCTGTCTCAAAAAGAAATAAGATCCTTTTCAAATAAAAAGATACAAATATAACAGAATAATTCAGTCCAAACAAGAAGGCTCCCTGGGCCTTGGCTCCTGAGCTGGCTCCTTGGCTCGGCTTAGGGACACGCTCCACCGACACAAGTCACCAACACGGACAACAGGTTACCGGTGCTGACTGCACAGCCTAACGCAGGACACGCTCGGGCTGCGGCGCATGCAGCCCCCAGAGCATGACGCAGCCCTCTCAGGCTAGCACTGCCCTGTCTTTGTGCTCCGCCCTGGTCTCCTGCCCCTTGGTGACAGGGCCAGGCTCCTTTCTGGCACGCAGGAAGTAGGAAGTGGGGGACGCTGCCCTCCAGGACGGGCTGTCTGTCTGTCCGGAAGGCGCCCTCCTCGCAGCCTCCCAGGCTGTGAGCCAGCACAGGACGCGCAGCGAGGACTGCAGGCGGCCAGGAAACACCGTGAGCAACCTGCCCGGGGTCACAGCGTCCCTGGACCAGCTCCAAATCGCAACGCAAGCTCACCGCAGCAAGCCTTAGGCCCACAGGCGATGCATGCGGCCCGAAGAGCAGGCACGGCACGCCACCTGCACAGGCCTTCCCGTGGCACAGACCTGTCCTCCCTGTTTGTCCTTCTGAAAACAGTCTCCCAGGGGACTAAGTGTGCTGAGAAACTCCCAGGGCAGAAGCTGTGGCTGAACTGTGCTGTGTTCCGACTGGGATCTTGTATGTCACATAGTATTTTTCAAAATAACACAGAAATTACCAGAAATGTTTCAAGGGATTGTAAGTTTTCTGTACAAACTTTTGGCAGGGACTTTTCAGACTATAAGACCTGGCATTTAGTAACTTTCAGTAATAACTGAAGACTTTAATTTGGGGTTACATTTTGGGATCTTGTCTGGTTTGGAAATGCTGGTATGAAACAGTGAGGTAACAGGGAACTTACAGCTGCAGCAGGCTGGCTATCGAAAGGGGGCTGCCAGATATACAGTGTGATGATGAACGAAAAGGGATGTGCACACATCCTGGGTGCAGCCGCCGAGCTGCAGCCCTCTCCCTGCCTGGAAACGTCCTGGGTCCGACGGGCTGACACCCCACGGACTGGCTGCCTTGGACACTGTGGGTGGCTGCACCCCAACGTGGGACTCACTTGGAATGCGGGGGGTGGAGTCATCGAAATCATAAAACACATTTCTGGATTTGTCACTTCGTTACTCTAAACATGCCTAGGGAAGTCTGTTACTAAGACCATCAAACAGTACATGCTAGTTACTGAGAAAGGAGACTTTTGGAAGGAAACATGGAATTAATAAAGTGCAGCAAAATGGTCTCGTAGAGGTGGAGGTGAACAGAAACGATTTCTACAGAGGAATAAAGTTGGTTCAGATTTTGCTGACTCTGGGAGAACTGAGAGGGTGGGACCGAGAGTGCTGAGCAGTCTTCCGGCAAGGTGCCAGCTGCCTCCCTCCACACCCTCCGCGCAGGCCCTTGGCCACAGGGAACCCACGGAGGCACTGAGGACACAGGGAACAGGGCCTCGGCAAGAAACCAGCTAGGTCCAGGGCAGCCTAGTGTTGTGTCCTGGGGCAGCAGCTTCCTGTACCAGCCGAAGCTCGGCCACCCTGCCTGGCCCCCTGGGCCACCGAGGCAGAGGCAGAGGGGGTGTGACCACATCCTTCCTGCAGGGCTTGGCACCCCTCTTGGTCTTCTGTGACATGACCCCAGGCCAACACAGTCCATGTGTCCACTGAGCAGGTGCCATGCAAATCCAGGACTGAGGCCGACACCACCCAAGTGGTGGCTCCGGTGGGGACCAGTGCAGGCTATGCCCAGGTCTGGTGCTGGGGTCCAATGTGCCCCCAAAGGTCCCACGGTGCAGTCACTGCCCAGACAGGGTGGCCGGAGGAAGTGTTTGGGCCCTCTCTTGCTCCTTCCACTGAATGAGGACAGTCTCCCTCCTGCTGGAAGATGGAGCCACACTACTACCCGGGTGCTCCTATCATGCAGACCTGCTGGCGTCCAGTCTCGGACTTCAGTCCATCTCCGGGCTTCCTCAGGGACGTGCCTGGCCCCTAGCTCCTCACCCGCGCAGCATGTGCTCAGCTGCCTGCCCAGGGGTTGCTGTGTGGTGCAGGCGTCCCCACTTCTGAGCCTCAAGCTCCCCCATGCCCTATGCACGGAGCTGCCGGCAGTGAGACTGCAACTCCCATCCTTTGGTGCTAGGCCTTGTGGACAAGGAAGACTGGGCAGGCCCTGGGCCGGCTGCACTCTAGCACAGGGGTGTGGCTGAAGGCGACAGGGCAGGCCGGCTTCCCGCCCAGTGAAGCGCACTCCGCCCGTTCTGGTCACTTAACCTCCTTGGCTGATTTTGTAAAAACCATGGATACAGGGAAATATTTCCCTACTGAGAGCAAGCATGGGCCAAGGAAGTGCACCACGGCCAACAGCCCACATCCCTGCAACAGGGCATCTCCCACCTCGAGTCCATCAACAGGGAGCAGGCAGGTCTGCCAGCCCTCCCAGCACCCCTGGTTCTAAGCAGAGGCTACACTGACCATGGGGCTCATGTGTGCGGCCCTGTGTAGCATGGTGTGGCAGCTCCTACTTCTCCCATCCAGATGCAGTCATAGGCCTGGGGAAGGCATCACCAGCACCAGAAGTGACACAGTCTCTCACCTGACGTTGCCCCATAGCCCTCCTGAGAGACGGCAGTGGGAGCCACAGGGCCTCTGCAAGGAGACACGGCCTGGCAGCAAACAGGATGCGCGTGTGAGCCTGGGAGGCCCGAGTCCTACCAAGTGCAGCTAAAGCTTAGGCTCCAGGCTTCCAGTTCTGACCCCAGGAAGACTGGCCCTAACAACCTGTATTTCCAAGACAAAAGCTTCCCGGAACGTGAGCAGTGAGGTGAGCTTATTTTAGCAAAGAGAAGTACACGCAGCCAGGCTCGGTAAACATCGGTCACTTTATTAAACACCCAGGCAGCCTCCAGCCACTGCAGGCTCCGAGGAACAGGCAGAGCGGCCACGGGGGTGCGCGGAGATAACACTCTCAGCAGGAACAATTTAAATACCTTCTTCACTTGAGAAAAACGGGAATTACTGTCTTGAGCTAAACACGATCAGTGCAGTGAACGCAGGCCCTGGGCATCCTCCGAGCCCCTGGAGTCGCACGGCACACAGGAGCCACGCTGCGCACGACTTTTGGAGGCAATGAGCCTGTCTCTAACTTAAACACTTACTCAGAGGCACTTCTGAAGAAGCGAGTGCCGACTACTAATGTCCACTCGTGCTAAGGGGCATCTGATCGGCCCGCAGCACCACCTGTTAGTGTGCTAACCAGGCCAGGGCACCACACGGGAGAACAGCACGTGGGACGCCCTTAGAATCCTGCTGTGGGGGCTGCCAGATCTGCTGAGGGCCCAGCACTACAGGTTTCTGGGCCCAGGGCCACCCAAGCACGCGGCGACACACCCCTTACTACCGAGCCTTGAAACCAACAAAAACTCCCACAGGTCAGGGGCTCCTTCGCCATTCCAAACGGCTCTTGCCTCTGGACCAATCTAAAGCCTAGTTAGTGGACACATTATTTTGTCAACAAGAAATAAAATTCCAATTTAAAAATTCTCACTGATTTATAAGGTTTTGAGCTGGTGCCTTGTTGGGACGTGGGCACTCCAGGGTGCTCTCCTGTGGCGGAGCCCCACAGGGACATCTTTAGGCCTCCCGACACTAGATGGCGCTGTGGCAACCTGGTTTTAAAACTCCAGGCCTGGCTTCAGCAAGGGCTAGGAAATCACCCAGCTTTCTTAAGCCCATTCCTTCCCTCAGAGAAGGTGACTTCAGAACGAGGAAGGGTGCTGTGTGCCGAAGAAGGGCGCGAGGGACCTGACTGCGACCCCACAGCACGTGGGCTGAGCCGCTGCACAGCCTGCCACGTCCTCGGCCCTCAGCCACTGCCGGCATGCGTGCCACCCGGCGTGCCTGCCACCTGGGCCATCTGACTGCTTTCCTGACGCCAGGCACGCCCAGGGCAGCCAGGCCGGGCAGCGAGCATGGTGCCAAGACCCGCATCCTCAGCAAGGGTCAGGACCTTAGGAACACGCCGTGGCCCCTTCACGTGAACACTCATGAAGAGAGAGCCCTGCTCAGCGGGCGCCACGCCTGCCTGGCCACGGCCGTGGCCTCTAAGGCCTCTTCTTCTGCAGCTCCTGGCCACTGGGCCTGCCCGCCGTGGCTTCAGGCTGTGCGAAGTTCCAGTCCACTGGGACGAGGAGCTGCTGTGTCTTCTTGTGGGTCCAGTACGGGTTCAGGAGCAGTGTGAGCAGGGCAAGCCCGGCGAGGAACAGGGCCAGATGAGGTGGGTACAGGCTGTGGACCAGGCCATCCCAGTGCCGGAAGCACACCCACCACATGTGGTAGGTGAGGACCATGCGGCAGTGGAACATGTGGACCATCAGCCATTGGTTGGCCTTCCAGAGCAGCGTCTCGGACCAGCCAGCCTAAGGACAACACAGATGAAGCAGTCAGTGCGGGAGCCGCACCACCCTCCCGTGTACAGCACTGAGCCTCTCTTGGAGCACAGGCCGCCCGCACATGGCTTTCCAGGTTCTCTGCACATGCAACTCCTCTCAGACGGGGCCCAGGCTGCAGCGGGACCCTGAAGGCAGCTCCCCGTCCCCTTGCTCTTCTCGCCTTCTCCCAGAAGCAAAGGCCGGCCTTTGCTCATCTCCACCGTGTACCCGCAGCACCTAGGCTCTCTCTAGCCTGCTGCACTGAGCCTCAGGCCCTGAGAGCAGACCCTCTTCACATGAAAGCAGGTCTACGTTCAACCCTTCACCACAGTCGCTCCGTACACAGGCCAAAGGACCTGCCTTAAGTGCCACTACCCTTCAGGAAACAAGTCAGCAGTAAGGTGCACAGGCACCAGTCCCGATGGCTCCCTGGACCAGCCTGTTTCCTCGGATCACCACCCAAGCTGCAGGCCACGGGCAGATCCTTCCCAGTATCGCAAACAGCTAGGTTAGACAAAAATTAACAGGACTCGGGGCAGCACACAAGACGAAGCCCATCTAAACTGTGGCTGGATGCCAACTGGAAGACAGCCAGGTCTGAAGCCCCCCAGGGGGACACTGCGAGCAGGAACACCTGGTCCAGGAAGCCCAGATGAGCATCAGGTGCACAGGTGGGGGGCCAGGACACCTGACCCAGACACCCATCCCTTGCCCATTTCCTTCTCAGAAGCAGATAAACTAAAGTCAGGAAGGCCCACGTAGACCCTCACTGCTTTGCTGAGCCGCTGAGCCTGTGACCTCATAGCTGGCCACCACTTGCCCCAGAGAGGTCTGAGGTGTCATGTTTCATGTATAAAAACCCTAGACCAAGAGCCTTGATGGCAGCCCACTGTGGGGCCCCCTCCCATCCCTGAGGAGCCTTTCTCAATAAGCCCCTCCTACTCATCACCACCTTTGTCCGCCTGTCCGTTCTTCGGCCATCAAGAGACATGAGCTCATGCACTTGACATCTGATGACTGGGAATCTGCGCCACCAGGACCAGTGGGAACACAGCGTCTGGACACAGCGGGCCCTGAGCAGGCAAGGCGGGGTGCAGGCTGGTGGATGGTGGGTGAGGAAGCCTGGGGCCTCAGGCAAAAGGACGTGAGGATGTCTGTCTGTCTCCACACACTCAACAAGAGAGGACCACTGCTCTCAGTGTCCTGGGACAAGGGCACTCAGCTCCAATGCAAACCCAAGCCACAGACCTTCACCCAAGGCAGGCCTTCAACACAAATGGGGGCAGACCAAGAAAGACAAGGAGCTCACCCACTGCGCCAAATACTGAGTCACACCAACAAGCTGTGTCCCCATGTTAAATCAGACATACCAGGTTTCCCTCTCCTGGTGACAACAAAGCCATCGGCACCCAAGAAAGCAAAATGAGCAGCTTTTCTCAGCTAGGAGCAGGCACTGCCCCAGGTCCTAGGCTCACGGCTGCTGTGGGCACCCAACCTGTCCACACAAAACACCTCAATTTCCAACAAGGAGCCCTGGACCAGACAGGGCAGGAAACCCAGGGCACACAGCAGGGGGTGCGGTGGACACCGGAGCCCTGAGCTGGGACTGCAAGGACAGAGGCCCACACCGGGCGCGGGTACAGGCACAGGCGCGGCCGCGGCAGCGCGGTCTTCCTGCAGCTGCTCTCAGAGCTTGGGAGCATGCGCGTGCTCGGCGTGGTGTCGTGCACAGTGCACACTCCGCACTCGAGTCCTGTGCCCTGACCCTGCTGGGCCCTGGGACTCGTGCGTACATCTGGAGTATGGGCAGCCGGCTGGCTGAGGTCAGCAGGGCGACACACTCTGCCATCATGGCAGTGACCTCGGGCGGGGAGGCCAGCATGGCTGCACTTGAGGCAGCACAGTTCCACGTGTGACCACGAGGCCTCGCGGTGGGGCGTGGCTCCAGGGAAATGCCCGCTGACCCACTTCATGTCTATCTGGAGCACAGCCACACAGGCATCTGCCCCGCAGGACCCTGCTTCTAGAGCCTTCTGTCACTGTGCATGCGCCAGCTGTGGGCATCACACGCGCTAGATGGCTCTGTGCCTGTCCGTTCCATCACTGCTCGTCACTCCAGTCCCCATGAGGCTCTCCTGGGCATGGCTGCCCGAAACCGCAGTGCAAGAGCCCATCTCACTCGCCGTCTTGGGTTGGTAACACTCAGATCAAAAACAGGATGGGTCAGGGAGAAGGCTCAGTAGAATAAGTGCATGCCTGGCAAGCACAAGGCCCTGAGCTCAATCCCTGGTACTGCAGA